AAAAAGAAAAAAAGAAAAGCGACAGACGATCGATACGAATAATCGAACCGATATTTTCCCGATACGTTTTCACCGTTGTCGAATGTGATCGCGAACGAGATACACGCAGGCAACAATGATGACGAAGAATAATCCTTTCTGGAAACATTTATTCCAATTTCATTAGTCACTGAACGAAACAAATTAATACAAAATTTCAGCGTGAAATGCTGAAAAGTGTATTAAAAGAACAAAACTGGAGAATCGGAGGAGGAGGGAAGGGAATTGGAGAGGCCGCGATAACCGAAAATCGGCCAGAGGCCACACGCGAATAGCTTATATCGGTGTTTAATATCACGCTTACCGACAACCTCGAGGAACAGAAATACACTCGTGGGTGGGTGGGTGGATACTTGGCACTGGTACAATCCAGCATCCCTTGGTTGAACGTATTTTATTTGAAGAGTCCAATCCTCGCTGTGGTGGAAATGAATTGCCTGGAATCGCTCGTCGTTGGCGTACGTTGTCAGTCCTACGGTCAGTAACTCCTGGACGTTCTTTCGTTTGATCCACGACACCTGAAGAGCCGGTAAAAAAGTCTCGTTAACAAAAATGATCCGTGGCCGGAATTGGTCGTGAACCACCGGGAACCAGGAAAAAGAAGGATTCGCCTGTAACGACCAGGGATCTCCACCTCCCTGGTGCCCTTACTACGTGGGTGGAAAACGACTAAAAATTTCAACTTACTGCGAGCGGAATGCACGGTCCGCTTTTATCACAGATCGAATTTTTCATCATTTGTTCCCTGCGAAATTGGAAACGTTCTTCCTTCCACCAGTAAAAATCGCTCGATGAGAAACGAAGGGGAAGTAATTTAGTTCCCTCTATATGTGTACCTCGTTCTATCGACAAATGCGCGGCCGTTACCAGATCCAGATTTTAATTAATCGTCGGTGTTCCCCTGTGTGTACAATAATTCGCAACTATCGGATCTATCGTGGCAGAGGGAACGACGATTTCTTCGAAATAAGCTACCTTCATATTGCTGGAAGGAACAAATAAGCGCTGTGTCTGCTCGCGACGCTCACTATTCACTTCCATGTAATATCGAGCTCCTCTCCAGCCTCTGCCATTGTCTGTCTATTACGGTCAGTAACTACTGTCCCGACGTTAGCAGTATTAACGCTGCCATTAGTCGCAGTATTTTCTATCTATGGCAGTAGCTCGACGTCTGTTTCGCCATGGTCATTAACTCTTCTACTTCGTGGCCATCGATCCTTCTTGGATCCTCTTACATCAACTCGGTCGAAGAGAACGACTCGCTGCTGCCTCGAAACGAATCCCTGTCCGATTCATTGATACAGAGGAATAGAGAGAAGAATAAAGAAAGTTCCTACGATATAAAGCATTTTGAGATACGTACGTACGTACGTACGTGATTTCCACAGTGGTATCGATACACGCGCGAATGTACCATTCATTAGTTCGGTGAGAAAGTTGGCGAAAATGCAACTATCCAGTTGGGAGCGTAGTTCGGCAACTTTCGAAAACTAGTAACTGCCTTGCAAATATCGTGCACGTATTACGGCCAGGTAAATGCACTACGTCAATAACGATCAGTAATTGCTGTACGCGAGCTTTCGGTTGATTCCGTGTACCTGAGAGCAAGCAAGAAATGCCCTCGGTCAGAATAATTTCTCGAACTCTGTGACACAGGATGATTGCTCGACTCGTGACCGGAATTTACCGATACGGATGGTAGACCTTCTGACACGCATTGTGAGAAATTCTACCTGCAGGTGATTCGCGTTTATCGGATAAATTATCTATTACCGCTCGGCTCGATCGCATCCGATATTTCCCCGCTACCTTTCCAGCGGGTACTCTAGTTGAAAGTACCTCATTACCTGGAAATTCGATATCCCTTTTCTTCTTCGAGTATTATTATTCCCATTTTTGCAAATGGGTTATAACGTAACGCGAAATGCCTGTTGGTCGGCTAATGTACAATATAATCGTCGTCGCAGTAGCCATTTCGAACCATCTTGGCGAGTTAAAAATAACTTTCACAACCCCTCGATAATCCGCGTCTCGGTGACCTTTTACGACCCTCCGCGGCCTTCGAACGACCCAGACTCGCCGCGATGATACGATTTTCGTATTTCTGCGTTCAATTTGGCAATTTTTGTATCGTAGGTATAGCGTGGCACGTGTGTCGTATCATGTATTCCAATACATGAAAAATTTCGAAGAAAAATCGTTATCGTTGACAAGAGGCTCAAATTAAAACTTGACGCAATGCGGGCTTGTCGGAACAAAAGGTAGCCGTGTAAACGTAACGTTTTGTTTTTCTTTTTTTACTTTTTTCTTCTTTTTTCTTTTTTCCGTTTTATATTTCGCGCTGCACATTTTCCCCTTGAAATATCGACATGGCGCACAATTTATAAAACTTATACGCACGCACGGCCCATCAGGGTACAAATAGGCGAGCCATGTAATGTACCGTGACTTTTATTCTTGCCATGGTGGTTCAGCGACTATTTTCACGTTTCACGGTGAGCTTTCGCCCGAGTATTTAAAAGCGCGCAAGCCTATTGCGAGAAGTGCCGTATCAACGAGGATAATCCTCGAAGCTTGCCGCGGGATGATGGCGTTGCTCGTAGTTGGAGTTGGCCGTGAAACGGCCGGCGGATAGAAGGAAAAGTTAGATCCGTCGCCCCGACGATAGAATCTCACCTTCTCCATACTTCTTTACGTCTGTCAT